TTGATTTTAAACCTTAACTAGAAGATCGATTTCCAGAAAAAGCCAAAATTGAAACGGGAGATCGATTCCCGAATAAGCAGGCATCAGGACCCAACCGATAGATCGATTATCAGAAAGGTTGATTTTAAACCTTAACTGGAAGATCGATTTCCAGAAAAAGCCAAAATCGAAACGGGAGATCGATTCCCGAATAAGCAGGCATCATGACCCAACCGATAGATCGATTATCGGAAAGGTTGATTTTAAACCTTAACTGGAAGATCGATTTCCAAAAAAAGCCAAAATTGAAACGGGAGATCGATTCCCGAATAAGCAGGCATCAGGAACAAATTGTTTGAGTTATACCAGGAATTTAAAGTATTTTGTTAAAAAAAAGATATCAACACCGAAAATTTCAAATTTTAAGATTTTATTTCCTTGCAATGTTTACTGAATACATCAACTATCATAATATTTCTTAAGATATCGTCCATTGATAGGAAACATAGGATGATTGCCTTTACAATCTATAAGCTGATAAGATCCTCCTTGATAGACTTTCTCCACTACAAAAGGGCCTTCCCAAGTTGGTTCGAATTCCCCTCCCATCTTTCGATGAGATAGGATAGGTCTTCGAAGAACTAAAACCAAGTATCCTACTTGAAAAGTTCTGGGACGAACTAATTTGTCGTGAGCTTGTATCATCTTAGCTTTGTATAACTCGAGATTTTGTTGAGCCTGTAAACGCTTCTCTTCTAAACCTTCGAGTTCTTCTAATCTGAGTCTTGTATTTTGTTTTGTATTGATCTGGTAATTTACTGTAATTCTGAGCGAGGGCAGTTGGACTTCTAAAGGAATGACTGCTTCTGAACCAAAAACTAAAGTGAATGGCGTAGATTGAGTTGGAGTTCTATATGTGGTATAATATGCCCATAAAGCTTCAACCAACTTCTCATGCCATTGACGCTTATTGTCGTCTTAAGTTTTCTTTAAGATCTGAATCAAAGTCTTATTGAAGGCCTCCGCCAATCCATTTGCCCGAGGGTAATAGATGGTGGAATATCTCCAATCGATGTTATGTCGTTTGGCAAAGCTGTTAATTTTAGTACTCCTGAATGAAGGACCGTTATCCGAGATAATCTGAGGAGGGAAACCGAATCGGTACACGACATTCTCTTTGAAAAAATTTAGAACTTGCTGAGCTTTAACTTCTCTCAAAGGAACAGCTTCTGCCCATTTGGAAAAATAATCTGTAGCTGCTAGAATGAATCTATGACCTCTGGAGGATGGAGGATCTATCGGACCAATAATGTCGGTGCCCCAGCTTTCGAAAGGCCAAGAAGCGATGGTTGGATGTAGAACATTCGGGGGTTGATGAAGAACTACACCATGCACCTGGCATTGATGACAGTGACGTGCAATTTTCATACAGTCATCTATCATTGATGGCCAGTAGTATCCCATCCGTTTGATCTTCATTTTCATCTTTGGACCGGATTGGTGTGCACCACATAAACCAGCATGCACTTCTTCTACGATCTTCTGTGCTTCTGATTTATTCAAACACCGCAACCACATTTGGTCGAATGATCTTCTGTATAGGGTATTGTTAATCAAACTGTAGGATAGTGATCTTCTTTTGATCTGATCTGCTGCTGATTTCTCCTGAGGGAGCTTATTTTCTTGCAAGTATTCGATGAATGATTTTCTCCAATCTAAACCTTCGTCGTTTACTGCCGAAACAATTTTCACCTCAGTTGAACATTCTCTGCTTATGTGTTCTAGATCTATAGGAGAAAGGACTTGTCGACCTTGTACTTCTATCGAGATTGAATCTTCTTCGGGACATGCCAATGCTTTAGCCTGTTTGGCAAGAGCATCGGCTGTGGAATTTCTTCCTCGAGGAATTCGATATAATGTGACATTCAAAACCTGTTCTAAAAGATGCATCGCATACTGATGGTAAGGGACTAAGGTGTCTTTTAATACTTTAAAGATTCTCGCGATCTGATTGATAACAAGCTGTGAATCTCCGAAGATCTTGATTTCTTCAATCCCATTCAAAATAGTTAATTCTAACCCAGTTATCAATGCTTCGTATTCAGCTTCGTTATTGGTACGTGGTTATGACAAGTGATAGGAATAGTACATGATACCTCTATCAGGTGTAACGAATACAATACCAATTCCTGACTGACCGGGCAAAGTTTCCTCTGATTCTCCTTGCTGAATAGAAGCAGCACCGTCAAAATAGAATTCCAAGGTGAACATCTCATTTTTCTCGAGTTCCATGACTTGTTCATCTGGTAGTTCATCATTTATCGGGCAATCATCCTCAATAGGATGGGCTGCTAAGAAATCTGCTATTGCTTGTCCTTTGACTGCTCGTAATGGGGTAAATATAATGTCGAATTGTGATAATATCATTGACCAGCGGGCTAGTCTTCCTGATAATGTCGGCCGAGTCATCAAATACTGCAAAGGATTTATTCTGGATATGAGATTTAATTTGTGAGAAAGCATATAGTGCCTTAACTTCTGAGCGGCGAAGATTAAAGCCAAACAATATTTCTCAATCGGAGGATAATTTACTTCAGTTGGAAGTAAACGTCTACTCAGATAGTACAGTGCATTCTCTTTTCCTTCCTCATTAGATTGAGCTAATAAGGTGCCAAGAGATTCACTTAAAGCTGTCGTATACAAAATCAAAGGTTTCCCTGATATAGGAGCTGCAAGCACTGGAGGATTCATAAAATACTGTTTGATGCTGTTGAAGGCCTTCTGGCAGTTCTGATCCCATCTGAACGGGGCATCTTTCTTACATAATGCCGCGAATGGTTGGCATCTACCTGAAAGATTTGATATAAACCTCCTAAGGTATGCTAATCGTCCTTGAAAGGATCTCAATTGAGTAAGTGTTTTAGGAGGCGGCATTTCTAGTATTTCTTTAATCTTAGTCGGATCAATTTTGATTCCACGATGTCGAACCACGAAACCCAAGAATTTCCCTGAAGTGACGCCGAAAGCACATTTCAAGGGGTTCATTTTCAAATCGTATTGTCGTATTCTCTGAAATACAATTCTCAAATCATATAAATGATCGTTCCTTTCAACACTCTTAACGACTAGATCATCGACATAACACTCCACTTGATTATGGATGAGTTTGTCAAAAATCCTCGTCATTGCCCTCTGATAAGTCACTCCCGCATTCTTTAGACCGAAAGGCATGACTTTGTAACAGTAAACTCCTATCGGTGTTCGAAATGCGGTATACTTCTCATCTTCAGGATCCATCCTAATTTGATTATATCCGAATGAGCCGTCCATAAAGGAGAATATCGCATGAGAGGAAGCGATATCTACCATGAGTTCCTGTATAGGAAATGGGAACTCATCTTTAGGACATGCTTTGTTTAGATCTCTGAAATCAATACAAGCACGTATCTGACCGTTCATCTTTTTGACTGGAACGACGCTAGCTAACCAGGTTGGATATTTCTCCTCCCTAATAAAGCGTGCATCGATTAGTTTCATAACTTCGACGATGACCTGCTACTCAATGTCGAGTCGCATTCGTCGAGGTGCTTGTTTTACTGGGAATGTTTCTGGTTGAATTGCTAATTTATGAACTGCTACATCTGGAGATAATCCAGGCATTTCTTCATAGCTCCAAGAAAAACAATCCTTAAATTTGGATAAAAGTTGAATCATGTCATTTGCCTCATCCTCATTCAACAAAGAACTGATGAAAATCGGACGAGGGTCTTGTTCAGTGCCCAGGTTTATTTCTCTGAGATAATCGATCGTAGATCTGATTTCTTCTTCAAACTCTGGAGGTGCATCTCGAATTTAAAAGTCATCGATATCATCTGAAGTTTCTAAGCAGAGTTCGTTAAAAAATTTAACGTTCGCTGAAAAGAGACTATCAGATTCAAAATTATTAGAAATTACTAAACAGTATTCATCGTCGTCGAACGAACATAGAGTAGCAAATCCAATACCATGTTTTGAAAGTTGTTTATGGTATTTTCTATTCCACAGATGTTCAAATTGTTGGGCTTCGCCTCTAGTCCATTTCAACGGCGTCAAACCTTGTTTAGCAAATCTGTTTGCAGAATTCGAATACCAATCAAAAGACAGCTCTATTATCTCGTCCATAAAAGGATCATCAAGGGTTACATCGGTTTCTGGGGGTTTGCTGGTAGAGGGTATGAAATTGTTGGCTTTGGTTTCAGGGTTTAGAGGGAGAGAAGCTTTCACTTCCAACCTCTTTACATCACTTTGGGATAAAGGAGTTAGGGTAATATTTTCCACATACTTCTTTAATCTCTCCATGATAGATAAATCCGGATTATCTTCCCTAGTGACTTGGACCCTGTCCTCATCACTATCAGTTTCTATAGAAATCTCAAATTTTGGCTGATTTAGGAATTTCATATATTCTACAACCTGTGGGTCTTTCTCAAGCATATATGTTTCGTCCTCCGAACTGGATTCCAAATCAATATGTATTGCAGGTTCCCTTATTTGGATGTCTTGAGTTACATTCTCACGCATTTCTCTATTTTTCCATCCTCGACCTCTTCCTCTAGACCATTGTGCCATTCTACCACCTCTTTGTGAGGGAGGAGCAGGTGACCAACGGACATCGTGTTCGAGGTCGGGATGCTGTCCTTTTTCTTTTTCCTTTTCTTTCTCTTTTTCTTTCTCTTTCTTTTCTTTCACTTTCACTTCTTTTATTTCTACTTCAGCCAATTTGAGATTTTTAGAGAATGGTGTCTGCTTCTTAGGCAGATAGTATGAAGCATCTTCGTATATTCCAACTTCGTGAATTGAAAATGGTTGCAAATCACCTTTGATACAGTGTTCTACTCCATCGCGGGAGAATTTGATACACTGATGTAAGGAGAAAGGCACCATTCTATATTCATGAAGCTAGGGTCTACCAAGGAGAGCGTTAAAAGAAGTTTCAGAATCTATTATATGGAATTTGGCTTTGGTTTTGAAGGCTTCTAAATCTAAAAAGCTAGTGTTATTGAGCCTAATGCTCTCTCTCCTTTCTCATTGAATCCTCGTAACATCATCTTGTCAGAACTGAGTTTACGAGTATCAACCCTTAGATATGCGAGAATTTTGAGCGCCATGATGTTGACTGATGCACCTGGGTCGACGAGCACACGGGATACTTTGAAATTATCGATGGTGACGGAGATGTATAGTGGACGATTATGATCCGCTGTTCCCAATAGCAAATCTTCATCTGAAAAAGTGACACCAGGAACTTCTTTGAAATATAATGCTTCTTCATCAGAATGTGTTGAAGCTAATTGAGCTATACAGATCTCTGGATCGAGTAAAGCTTTAACTAAAGCTTCCCTCATTTCTTTGGAAAGAACCAGAGCGTCATATATGCTCAATTTTGCTGGCAGTTTTCTAAGATGCGCTAATACGTTATAATCGACCTTCGAAATCTCAGTATTCTCTAATTCTGGCTCTTGAAATGGTTGTGGTTGATTAGCAATTTCAGGGTTATCTGTAATTTGCTTCTCCTTCCCAGTAGATGCGAGTCGTGGGGGTAAAATTTTACCACTACGAAGATTGACTTGCACTACTTCTTCGGATGAGGCATTATCAATGGTCTTTATCGGTTGATCTTTGGTTGATGTCTGGGTTTCTTCTGGCGGTGCATCTGAATCTGATAGTTCTAATTCTATATTAATAGGATCACCCTCAACATCAAGAATAGGGGAGTCACTATCGTAATAGAATTGAAACTGTTTATCTGTTTCGTTCGTATTTATGTCTTGAGAGTTATTTTCATTATTATTGATGTTATGATCGGGGTATTCATCAGCAGAAACAAACATAATATACGCGGAATCCTTTTTCATTGCTTTCTTAGCCACGGGAGGGACAAAATAAAAGTCATACAGAGTTAAAGGTTTGAGCGACACATGCTCGCCATTTTCAGAAATAACTAACTTATCAGAATCTAATTCTGACTCCTTCTTCTGGTCCTTCTCCAGGACTAGTGGAGCTTGATCAGCTTTGACTTCTTTGGGCTCTATGATTGGGGCCTTATTCTTCTTCTGCTGACGAACTACTGGATCAATCGGGATGGGATTCTAAACTCTTAGAGGTTCCTGGAAAGATGAACGATATAATTTATTAAAGAATTTTTTAGAAGATTGAGACAAAGCTATATCCCATTTATCATCAGATTTTGAAATAGGAGGTTCAGAAGGCTCACCAAATATACACTTGGCAGAACCCTGACTAGGGTCAACCAAGTATTCTTTGGGTATCACGACTGTACCATCCTTATGATTTTTGTCCAGCCACTCTTTGAAGGTTATGCAATCCTCTAACTCATGACCTGACATCCGATGATATGAAAAAAAGTTTGGTTGCCCCGCCTTAGCTGCTTCTTCGGGTCTCTTGGATTCAGGTAATTTAAATCCCGGCTTTTTTATCAGACTTTTGAACATCTTCTTGATTGCTTCTCGTTTGAAAGGATAGACTTTTTTCATAAAGAATTCAAACTTCTCTTTCTGTTGTTCTTGAGTCAGATATGGCCGAGGTCTGGTTTGTTGCTCGCCCTGAGGTCTATTATATTGTTGATATTGGGGAGGTCGATTAGGATTTTCTGTCTGAATCTGCATCGGCTGTTTCCCTTTATCTACTGCAGACACTGTCCCTGACTTCTTTTCTAGCACCTTCTGAGGTTTCAACTTTTTCATTTCTAAAGAAGTTGAATCTTTGGCGAACGGAAGCTGGGAAACTTCCTCCTGAAGGTTAGAAGCTTTGTTTAATAACTTCTCAAAGGTTTTAATGGTAAAACCCTTGAGCAAGAAAGCAACTGGGCTATGAATGTTTTTTAGGAGGATCTCTATGGCGTGCTTCTCTTGTAGTTGCGGTTCACATCTCATACTGAGATTTATCCATCTCAGAATATAATCAACCAGACTTTCTCCTGGCTTCTGGGTTTCCACCACCAAATCACCAACAGTAATATGATGCTTCGCACCAGCAAATCTTTTGACGAACATTGCTTCCAAGTCATTGAAGGTATGGACCGACCCATTAGGCAGTTCCGCATACCAATCAAATGCGATCCAAGATAGACTACTGACAAATTGTCTGAACAATAGAGCGTCACTACCGCCTGCATTACAACAACTAGCTCTGAAATGAGCTAGATGTTGTTTAGGGTTTCCCGTACCATCGAAATTTTTGAAAGACGGAGGGACAAATCCTTTCGGATAGGGAACCGAATCGAATTCCTCTGGATAAGGCCTACCCTTTGAAATGGACGATGTACTGTGAACTTTAGCTAGCGCATCTTTGACCTGTTGTTCGACCATCTGTTTGATATCTACTGATTGTATCGACGGCGGTTCTACTCTTATTTATTTCTGTACAGGTTTCTCAGGTTTTTCAATCCTGACTGCCTTATTCTTGACATTCAGCTGTACTGATTCCTCAGGAGATGATTGGACTTGTGCTTGAGGAGTAGGTGGATTTTTACCTTGCATGACCGAAATCATTGTCATCATTTCCTCGAGCTTCTTTTCCATTCTGAGTATTTGCTCATCTTTTTGACTCAGAGATTTAATAAGGGTCTGCTAACTGTCTTGATAACCAGATCCTTGATACTGATCCTGAGAAGGAAGGCTTTTCAGATGTCTACGATGATTAGATGAAGTTGCTGGTCGACTGGGACCCGCTTCTTGGAACTGTACTCTTCTTTTAGCAGGAGGATAATCTCCTCTCCTTCCTCTTGCTTGAGGATGTACCTCAGTGTAGATAACATCCTTCACACTTTTCAGAAATTCGGTCTTTGACTGGCCATAGTCAATAGCACAGTCCTGGATCAGTCCATTTAATAAGTTCTTGAATTTTCTCTTCTTCTCATACAGGGAAGGGATAATAGGATCATCCCGGAATGGTGTTGGAGGAGAATGTGCTATACGTGCCACACTCTCTTCTCCAGCAGCAGCGGACAGTGGGTGAAACCTGCTACCAGCCAGCTGAGGAGAGTTGAAAAACACCTCAGTGAATTCAAGAGTTATGTTCTTAGATACTTCAGTCGGGGCAAAAACCACGGGGTTGTTCTTTGATGCTGCAGATCTTTTCGTCCTTCGCCTCGCACGATGGATCATATTACGGCGTTGAGATTTAGTAATCTCTGGGATAGCAGACGATGATCCCACTTCAAAATTCCCAAAGGCAGGGGAATCGACCACAATAGGAGACTTTCCTTTAGCCATAGCAGCTGACTGAGGATAAGTCAGGCGAGTGAAAACAGAGGGTTTGGGAGCTGCAGGGGCAGTTGCAGACCTACCCTCAGTGTTGATCTGAACAGGAACTGATTGCACAGATTGAACTACGGGAGTCATTATCTCAGTGTGTGGTGCTCAAACAGTAACTTGCAGGTTATTGAATCAAGAACCAAATTGAATCTGACTACCCTCAGTAGATTGGGATGCGGTGATGTTGATGTTGAAGATCAGTTTTCCAGACATTTTCTGTAATTCAAGGGTAATTCCAATCAGAAACTGATCCTTGAAAATGTTCGTAAATAATCTGATTGCTGATAGTTGCATTGATTGTTGGTGGAATTTTGAAAACATATTTTAAAAATTTATAAAAAAAAAGGAGAGGAGATAGTAGAACTGCAAAGGATCCTATAATTAAACAATTTCAAAAAAATTCATTAAATAAACGCCAAGTATAAACTTCAATAAATTCAATAACTAAATTCAAATAAAATCCGAATTGTTAAAACTCGCACTTTGCATTCAAATCTCATAATAAATGTCTAATATGTGTTAAAATGTTAAAGATCCCAGAAAAATCATTTATTTCAAAGTCAACAAACTGGTCAAGATTCTTAGTCAAAATTAGAGCCAAAAATAAACTTCAAACCCTTCGTAAATAAAAGTAGAAAATTCCGAATTCAGCGTACTTACCGATCTCCTGGTCCTAACTGCTCGTATTGAGGTCTAATATTTTAAATAAAATACAAACATTTCTAGGAATTTGAGGCTTAAATGTAAACAGTCAACCTTTACAAACCCTATTAATTAATATGATTAGAATAATCCAAAAATCATAAACTAAAAATCAGAACCTTTAAAGCTAACAGACAAATCTTAATGAATTAACCTTAAAAGATCAGTAATAGTCAATCTCAACCTTAAATTAAAAAATTTATTAATAACTTTTAAAAAAAACACCTTAATTCAAAAGTCTATATTCAACATAATTAATACCTCTGGGTACCACTAGGTAATCCTAGGCCTACCCTATGAGGCTATATTTACTTTAGCACATCAGGAAGGTGATGAAATAAACTTCACGACATCGGTGATGAAACAAGGTGCTTCCAACAAATAATTAATAATTATTTAAAAAGATTCAAATATTCATATTTAAACTCTAACGAAATTTTACCTTCAAAAACCTTTTCAACCAATGAACCTCCTATCAACAAACTTTTAAACAAAATGATCCTCATTATAGGACATATCAAAAACCAGCACGACCTTACCATCACAACTTCAGATGGTTTGCTAGGACAACCAAGACTACTATTTTTAGGCAGAGGCTGGTCGTTCTACTTTGTTGTGTGCCGCAGTTTTCGAGTTTTTCAGACTGCATGCTGTTTGCTAGCCCTAGAATTGATGTTATTGTTGTTTATTTTACTGGCAACTTCTGGTTGTAATTTATATGAGAACATTTATAAATTTTATATAATCAATTGCTTGAGATCAAATATTAACTTTCCCATGGGGATACAATATATAACTGTTGAATTAATGAGGATAACCTTGCCAGGATGAGTCTAGATTTTTTTTATTTTTAAATTAATATAAATTTGATTAAATAAAGTTGTTAATTCTTTGAAATGACTTGAGGCTTTGGAATGCTTGATGCCAATTGAATTCGCAAAGAGGTGAAGACATCCCCTAAAGGGGAGAGTCTTCTTTCCCATTTTGGAAGTCACAATTAGGAATAGCATTTTTTAAATTATCCAATAGAGAACAATAACACCCATATCAAGGGGAGTTCCATCTTTTCCATTTGAATATCCGGAATCGGACGAATCAAGATGATTTAGAGAATGATGAAGGATCGACAACGAGAAGAATCCCAAATCTCACAAAGTCATCTAAATTAGGATCAGAAATACCGGGTTGTAGCTTAAGTTGGGATGCCTGGACCACCTTACTTTTGCAAAATTCTGGTTTGTAATAAGCAAGGGCACTTGCATGGAACATTCAACTTGATTATTGAATTGATGTGAATTTATTTAATTGATTGAGCATTAGAAACTCTTGTTTTTTCTAGTCCTTTTTTATTTGCAGTGTCGTATTTGGTTTGACCTGAAATTCGAATTTAGCTCTTAGCCGGGTCTGTCAAAAATTCTTCTTACGTTTAATTAAATAAAAATTTTCAGAGATAAGATATAAACTCCTAAACGGTCCTAAGAGTAAGCTCGGAACTCGCCGAGGTTTTTCAATGCAATTCATATTAAACTTTCTCAACCATTGTTAGGCATCTCCCCCGCCTGCGGGTTCTGGCAGACCCCTGGCCTATGAGGGTGCCGATCTTGTCAAGGGGATGTTATGCATCTCTAGGAAAAACTTATTTTTCTACAGTCTCAAAATTTTTAAGAAGCTTACAATCAATTTTGGGCATTCAATCGAGTCGATTTAGCATGCAATTGCATTAGTAATCAATTAAAATGAGTCCTAATATTTTAAATTTTGCATTTTTTTAAACATAAAAGACCCAACCATAATCTAGATAGACCAATTATTTCCTTTAGACCGTCGGTCCGTGTTCCAATACCTTTCTTAAAATAACTGTCCCACCATTCAACATTAAAAGACCTAGATCATTATTTTAAAATCTTTAGGTTTGTTAGCTGGCTCCCGCATCAGGCCGGGGTAAGTCAAAAGGTTCTGCACTGCATTTAGCTAGTTCGAGGCGCTTTTAAATGCACCAAATTTAGACTTAAGGTTCGCAAACTGCGCTCGGGCCATTAAGTACTTTCAACTTTTCGGTGAAAATCGATCCATTATCTAATAAAATCAAACACATTAAAACTAAACCCTTATTTCAATCAAACTTCGAGCCGCCAACACTTAAGATAGACGGGGCACTATTCTGAAATTGTTTCAGAATACCTAAGTCCCCTCTACTTCTCTCGCTTTTTGACTCTAGAAAAAGTGCTCAACATTGAACCAATCCGCATTTGAATTCTACCTCTTTCTCTCCCTTGATGACCTATCTTTGGAAATCTTAAACAAAATTTTGCCGTATTGATTAAATCGAGAGTGAGTTTTCGTAGGAGACTCCTCATTTTCCTTAACGTATGTGAATTTACTACGAGGGCTTGCACTCGTAGGAGATTTTGAATATCCACACACGAGCTGATTTTAAAAATTTGATTTTTCAAAACTCATTGGATTTCTTTGGGAAATTGAAAACTAAGCAATTGTTATCACCTATTCAATAGAATTATCAATCGAATGATATTTTCTCCTTCGGGGAAGATACATCTTTTTCTTGATAAGGCTTTGAATGTGAACCTAAACGATGCACACAGGATTCTTACTTTGAATATTGTGCTGGATATCAGTTGAAACCGCTCATATTGACCCCTTCGGGGCCATATGAAGTCTCTTTAGCATCCGGTCATAATATTCAAGCATGAATTTCATGTTCTAAAGTCTAAATACCGTTATGAATTTTATTACTCACCTCTGCGAGGTGATATACTTTTTTCTAACAGAGACAATTCGATTTATAGAAATTAATTTTAAGTCGCCAATAGAAACTAAAG